CTCAATGTCAGTTTAAGCTCAATAGATTCTGATTAAAATAATCAATCTATCAAAGACCTGTTATCTTTCAGCCTATGTTATACTATCTACACCTTTCGTTCAATTTAGGATACTTATATATTTAACAATGACTGACCTCATTTTTTGGGTCATATATAGATACATACATACAAATGGTAACTATTCAAGAGTGAAATGTAAGTTCATCTAATGCAAAAAACCCATAAACAATCAAATATCTGTCAATTTTTGAATACAATTACCTTTAGAATTATAAACAAAATGACATTCTTAAATTGTCATTGTTCCTATTGAACTCATAACCTAATCATTGAGTTCCACTGTAAAGTTCTATTGTAGATTAGTTAAGATTATACAATAACACCGTTCGCTAAAGACACAATGTCGTTGGTTCGATTGATGTTTGTAGGATGTTAGATACGCACTATAGAGTAGTCTCATACTAGGACGAAATGATCGTTCAGTGTTTCAAGGTTTTCAGTGGTTGTCTAAAATAGATCATGAATCAATTGAAGCTAGACCATCATAGAAAACCTGGAAGTACTGGACGGCCATTTCTTCCCAGTGTGAAACTCCTCAGCAATGAGCATCTACGATCCCGTCTCGAACCCAGGATTTATCAGTCTCGCGGGCGAGCGCCTAACCTCTAGATCACTGAGTCGGCATCCTACAGTGTTAATGTTTAACTTTAATCTATCCATGGGTAGTATGATAATAGAGCGAAACGCTCGTCCAGTGCTTCCAGGTTTTTCATGGTGGTCTAACTTAAACCGTTTCATGATCTCAATCAAAAAACTTAATAATCTTCTCGATCACATACTGATAATACTCACTTAATCACAATAAAGAATGTTTGAAACAAATGTTAAGTAAGTGATTAGTAAATCAAGGTATATGACAGGTCATTTCTATCTAATTAAATTTAGTAATATGAAGACAGTGTAACAACATCACTGATCACTATAAAATATCCGTTGACTTCAAGGAACACGTTACGCAGTACAACTGTTTACATTAATATTGATAACATATCAGGTTCATCAGTGTATAGTTTAAATGATTTTAGAGTTAAAGTAGAAGTAAATACAGTAGAATACGGTATATACTACTTATGTCGTTGTAAGTAGTCCACATCACAGCATCACCTCTCATCAGTGACACTATGAATATTGATTGGGCGAAACAATAAATCTTTTGATTGAATATTTAAATTAGTTCCTTAAGATCTTCTAGTAATCCAAAGCTAAATCTACAATACAACGTAAACATAAAAAGAAAAATTCACTTGGTATTGTTTGTTTGGATATTCCCATCGATGTGTTTCGGACTGCAACTGGTCAGTCTCCGAAACACATCGATAGTAAGATCCAAACAAACAATACCAAGTGAATTCAAACTTCACCCCATCGCACAAGCAAGTGGCTATCAGGACTCAGTGGCCGAGTGGATAACGCGATGGCGTTTGAAGCGAGGGTACTGGGTTCGAGTCCCAGAGTGAACATCAACTCTGAGATGCAGGTACATCCAGCTGACGAGTCCCAAATAGGACGAAACGCGCGTCCTGGATTCCACTGCTAGCCACTATCCATCTCTGCTTACCATAAAAAGAAAAAGTTGAGAAATATGGAAAGAATGCATTACTCGAAGATTTGTTTATGTACAGAAAATTGAGGATATTTACAACATTTCAGATGCCGTTGGTTCTCTGGAACATACTGGAATCTTATTAGACATAGTATCAGAAATGTAATACACTACTCTTCATTCAATAGATGTTTCTGTAAAACATATATTCAGTGCTAATGGGATAAAATGTTTTCAAGCATTTTCAGTGCCCTTCTGGGCATTTTTTTCTGAGGGATACTCTGGATCTTCCCCAACATACAATAACTTGAATACCTCTCTAAAAAAACGTGACCGATGGAGGTCAACTAGGTCTGTCGTGAGATAGTAACTCACTAAAGACAATAGTAGACGGCTGCTCAATTTCATAGATTAATTGAAGTTAGACATGAGCATCATTGGATAGCAGCTCAGTAGTTTAGAGGCAAAGTGCTCGAATGTGATAATGATAGATCGTGGGTTCGAATCTCGTAGGGAGGGATCGTGAATGTGCACCTCTGCGGAGTCCCACAATAGGACAAAACGGCCGTCTAGTGCTTCCAAGTTTTCCATGAAGTTCTAGCTTTAATTGACGTATTATTTCAACTATAAAATCAGTAGTCTCCATTAAGAACATTCCTCATATTGTATCAATAAACGGAAGTAAATTATGTAGACAGATTTTTGTTGTTGCTTCCTATAAACTACTTTTTTTTGTAGTTTTAATGTAAAGCAAACAGCAAACAAAAAAAATACAAAAAAATTTATGCCAGTGTTTATCCACATTGATGTACATATGAATGTTATATACATATGCATAGATACATAAACATAGATACATAGACCTCCCAGCAACTGGAGCCATGATTGGAAAAATTGTGAATTAATGGGGAATGTGTCATGTTTGTTCGTTTCTTTTGTTGTTGTTTTTTTTCCATTTAGATTTAATGAATTGAATATTCTTAGATGTTATGTTATGTAACTGCTTTGATTCAGTTCAAGTGTAAGGAACTCACAACATTGAATAATTTTAACAGCTGAAATCCCTGGATAAATACGAACATTATCATCATTCCAGATGACCAAAATAAATGTACAATAGTATCCTCAGATAAAGAAGATTACATAATAAAGGCTAAAAATCAACTCAATAATAACGATGGTTATAAGGACTCAGTGGCCGAGTGGATAACATGATGGCGTTTGAAGCGAAAGTTACTGGATTCGAGTCCCAGAGTGGACATTAATTCTGAGATGTAGGTACATCTAGTTGACGAGTCCGAAATAGGACGAAACACACGTCAAACTGGATTCCACTGCTAACCACTATTCATTTTTGCTTATAATGCTTGTGAATTAAATTCTATATCGAGGCAATGAGCATAGTATGCACATATGTCAACAAAGAGCCTGATTAAATGCAGTCCTAAAAATCAATTGGAAGATTCAAACAAACAATACTAAGTGAATTTAATAACTATGATAGATTGAAACCACTGACGGTAAACCCTTTTGAAATCTTAGAAAATAAAATGAACAGTAATCTAAGTAACATCATCAAAGAAGGACAAATGATGAATTAGGTTCATTGTTGAATGAATTTGTTCACTTTTGATCTAAAAAAAAAAGATTAGAACTATCGAAACCTGGACAGTCTTGACGACAAAGTTTGTCGTCCTTTTAAACTCTAGCTTTTAAACTGTCCAAAAAACATAACAGAATATTGAGTGATCTGATCGAACTATAGTAATACTCTATTCACTCGTCAGTGAAAATCAATAACTCATTACTAGACAATGATGAAACAATTGTGTCGTTCAAGGTTACAGCTTTCTCTCCCCTACAACAGATAATATTTTACAATACCTGAGCAACAATGAACAACCCATAGAACACACAAACAAATTGACCAAGGTTAATAATGAAATATTACACATATGGTATATGTCCGCAAATGCCCTGGTTCGGCCGACGTCGAAGAATGTCTGCTATCCCCGTCAAAATGCTCTCATACGGTAACGTGTATACAGCCACTGGCAGCGAAGTTCCACTGACTACCTTCTCGCAGTAGGGGTGTTATTTACCACATTGAGATGACGAAAAGCGAACGTCTGGTACTTTAGTCCTGTTGATGGATATGGAGAGTCCACCTAGGGGAGTTGGAAAACTCTAATTTCGAACCAATGGTTCACATAGGCTCCAGGATACTGACGAAACAAATGACGTACGAATCTATTGTTGGTGACCGGATACCATGAGACTATATCTCCTGACGTTGCTCCACTAACTTATGGATCAAATCTTTAGGTTGAACTCTTCAGGTGTCGCCTGTTGAAGACATCCAGAAAAAACAACACGAGGAAAGCCAAAAAAAGGCTCTGAAAACACTGATAAGCATTTTATACAATCAGTATACGCCAGAGGTTTTGCTAGAAACATCACGAAAATGAAAAGTCACATGTCGAGTTTCTGACCAGATGATTACCTATGCTGTTACTATGTTTAGTAGCATTCCAAAATTTTCCAGTAACCCAAGGACATCGAATATATTATAAAAACCCTGGATTTTCTGTACATGAACGGATTTACAGTGTAAAGCGTTTTCTAACATATTTCACACCTTTTCTCTCATGTTCAAGCCTGTGTGGGGGGATTACTAGAAGAGCTTAGGAACCAAATCTAGCATTCAATTAGAAGATTTATCATGGCTCTCTGAGGAAACCAACTAATTCGGTTTAGGCACTTTGGTCAATATCATAACCCATACACAAATCAAGTGATTTGTAAAGCGCATATCTATTCGGTGTTCTCTGTGTTTATTTTGTAGTGACCTACTTTTGGCGACGAGAACGCGATTGGTGTAATTGAAACAATTGTTATTATAACCAATTGTACCAGTGATTGTTTTACTATACCCGTTTTGTTTAACTGTATGAAAATCACCTTTCGGTTCCGTTGTTCATCTTGTTCGTTCGAACTTTCTTCCGCTCTGCCCTTTTTTGCCTGTACTCTTTAGTATGTCTCGGTATTCTTTCGATACTATGGGATTACCAATAAATATAGCTTATCTAGACCACTTACAGCCTACTAGTTTACGACCTATAAAAGCAACGAAGTCGTTATCTGGCAACTCATCTTTTTGTAGTGGTGATCATTGTTAATCAAGACTCGACTCATTATTAGACTGGTAGGTCCTGGGTTCGAATCTGGCGAGGTGAGGTTGTGCATGCGTAGTTCTGAAGAGTCCCACAATAGAACGAAACGGTCATCCATTGCTTTCAGGTTTTCGATGATGCTCTAGCTTCAATTGACTCATGCTTTCAACTATGAAAATACTAAATCAAAATTGTACTAATTAAAATGTACTTGATACTTACCACTTTCAGCTGCTTTCCATAAACCTTTTTTAAAAATCATTTTTAATTTTCTTTTCTTTTCAAAATCTGTACCAAATACAGTAATAATTAATGTAGGCGGTTTTAAACCCCATTTACGTTTAAGTATATCACGTAATATAGAATCTGGTGTATCACTATTTAATTTACAAAACTGAAAAAAAAAGAAGAAAAAGAAATAAGAGAAGTGTAAAGAAGTAGTTAGATATTAGAAATAGTATATATATATATGTGTGCAGGTACACCTTACTGATGAGTGCCAAGTAACAAGGAACCCGGGGTTCAAATGCTCACTAGTGACTAGCTCCATGAGGTAATTCCTAAAGTTCTAGTTAGAATTTGTGATCAGTGGAGCTAATCCATGTCAGGTAGAGACAGGTATCTACCTAAGTACAATTAAAGGTGGTCGCGCAATTTCGTAGATTAGTTGAGATTACACATCAACACCATTGGATGCCGGCTCAGTGGTCTATCGGTTAAGTGCTCTGGTGCGAGAGTGTTAAGTCCTGGTTTGGAATCTCGATAAGGTGAGATCATGGATGCGCACAGCTGAGGAATCTCACAATAAGACGAAACGGTCGTTCAATGCTTCCAGGCTTTCCATGGTGGTCTAGCTTCAATTGACTCATGAATTCAACTATATTAAAAATTACTCAAATCTCCACAAAACCCCCTTCTGATCAAGGTTTCCTTTTGACTACCTCCAACCACCATGTTATCTCAACATATTGCATGCAGTGTCGAGTCACCTAGACTAGTGGCTACATTGCAACTTGATAGATAGGATTCGGATCTGTACTAAGAAGAACTTGACACACATGACATCGCTCATCACCCAGTGATCAATCAATTGTGATTGTATATATACACATTCTACAATCTATTGACATGGTATCATTGAAATCATGAACTAATCAACGTTATACAACTATTGAACATGATCGCACAATATTGTAAATTGGTTAAAGCTAAACATTCAAACTGTTAAATCCCAACTTAGTGGTCTGTTTAAAGGTTAAACTTTCAAACATGACACTAAACTTTTCTAGGTTCGATTCCTGTGTGTGAGATCGTGAATGTGAAATGCTGATAAGGACAAACCAACAATCCAATACTTTCCCATCTCTAATGATGGTTTAACAGGGATTAATTTATGATTTAAATGCATTTTAACAATAGGAACAATAACGGAGCGGACTTGCATGAATATAGCAAACAATTCTCTTTGAACCTAGCACACAACAATACTGTCATGCACTGTCCTATCACCCTTGGAAGATTAAGCAACCCGAAAGTCACGAGAACACCATCAAGGTATATGACAGACTAGGTAAGCAATTTAAAAATTTCCACAACCTTTATACTAAAAATATAGAATGAAAATCAAAAGTTACATACAATGGATAATTCATAAGCTGATAACATTTTCTACTGAATAAGGTTTTCCTATGAAAGTAAATCTCTAGGGATTGAAGAATGAAAAATAAAGAAGACAAATATTTAAGTTCACTTGGTAATGTTCGGTTGAATCTTCCCATTGATGTTTAAGATTGCAATTGATCAGTCTCTTATTGGCCATATGTGCATATTGTGTGTATTACCTCTATATTACCCTAATTCACAAGCATTCTAAGCCAAGATGGATAGTGGCTAATACTGGAATCCAGGTTTCGCTACAGTTCGTTCTATTTGGAATTCGTCAGGTGGACGTAACTGCATCTCAGAGCTGATGTTCACTCTTGGACTCGAGCCAAGTACCTTTCGCTTCAAACGCTTCAACATAGTTAATATGCAAAATAACAATCAATGTTCTCGATCTTCCCAGTTCTTTATGTAAATATCATTTTCATAATGATTGCGCTTCATTCCTGTTCGTCCCTTATTGATCTTCTGTCAAAATACATTCTATGTCTGACTATCACTTTATACTACTTATATAAGGATATAAGTAGTCCACACTACACAACAACATATTCAAATAAGTAGTATCTTTTAATACCTTCGATAATGATCATTACTTTTTTTCTTTTAAGTTTTGATTATATATATTTTATTCTTAATATCTACTTTGATATTCAAACAAGATAATCATTATACCCCTTTACAAATAGTTGATATACTGGTCAGTTACATATTGGTTTGATCCACATACACACACACACACACACTAGTATCTCCATGGATTATTTATCTCAATTTGTATTGTTTCATTGTAGAAAACAACTTCCCTTTGTTTGTTTTTTTATGTTTCTTTAAACAAACTATCATTTCTATAGGGGGCAATTGATAGAATAGACAAATCAAGAACATATCAACCCTCACTTAAATTGATCTAATGATTTGGTAAATAAAAATGGATAGTGGCTAGCAGTGGAATCCATGACTCACGTTACGTCCTATTTAAGACTCGTCAGATGGATGTACCTGCATCACAGAGTTGATGTTCAATCTGGGACTCGAACCCAGTACCCTCGCTTTAAACCCCATCAAGTTATCCACTCAGCCACTGAGTTGTGATAGCCAATTGATTTGTTTTAACATACGTAAACATATACAGATGGATAGATAAGTGTAACCATTTACTAAACTATTGAAAATCTTATATAATCTTATCGTTAAATCATAATTTGTTAGTGTTGAAGTAAATTTTTTTAATATAAAGTACTCATAATAGTTGAATTCATGAGTTCATAGAAGATAGACCACCATGAAAAACCTGGAAGTACTGGGCAGACGTTTCTTCATATTGTTGGACTCCTCAGTAGTGAATATCCACGATCCCGCCTCCCGAGATTCCAACCTAGGAATAATTGGTCTCACGCGCTGACGCTTAACCTTTAGACCACTAAGCAAGCCTGAATCCAACAGTGTTAATGTTTAACTTCAAACAATCTATAAAACTGAACCATCATCCACCATTGTTATCAATGATTTACTATCTCACAACAGACCCAGTTGAACTCCACTGAACACTGTTTCTCATTGGATTTCCCCTCGAATGCCCTGGTTAGGCTGAGAGTGGGGAGACTGCACTCTCCCTCTTCAAATGCTCTCACATGGCCACGCGTAAATAGCCTTTGAAAGGGAAGTTCTACTCACTGTGGCGGAGGTGTTGGTTACGAAATTGAGAGGACGAAAAGCGAATGTGCGGCGTTTTAAACGTGTTGATGGATATGGACGGTCGACCTAGGGGAGTTGGAGAAGTGTAATTCCAAACCAATGGTGAACATGGGAAAACCTGGACCTACGTTTCCTGTTGAATACCTCCAACCACCATCTCAACTCAACATAGTACATAAAATATCGAGTCACCTAGACTAGTGGCCACATTCTGAATTGGTCAATATCATTCGATCTGCACTAAGAAAGACCTAAAACACATGACATCGATCACTACTTAGTGATCAATCAATTGTAAATTAATTTCAATGTTAATAATTGAGAGACTCTAATTTGTGGACGAACCAATCAGATTTAAGATAACAGATCTTGAATTTTGGCGCGAAGTTCACTCATTCATTTGGCTAAATGGTTTAGTGAACTACCTAGAAATTAATTTCAACAAAATGGTGGTTAAAAGCAGTCAACAGGAAAACTAGGTCCAGAGTTCTCTGTTGACTACCTCCAATACTACCATCTTATCTCAACATAATGCATGCAATGTCGAGCCACGTGAACTAGTGGCCCCATTCCAAAATGGTCGATAGCATTCGATCTACACTAAGAAAGACCTAAAACACATGGTATTGATAACTACACAGTGATAAGAGATCTCGGATTTTGACGTGAAATTAATTCATCCATTTAGTATTTCAGCTGATATCAGTTCACGATGAATCCCTTCCGCCCAAAATCTAATTTCTTATTTAAATCAACTATAAATCATAATTCTTATACTTCATACAGTTTTATCACACTGACTTAGTTCTAGTTACTAGGCAGACATTCACAAGTTTATTTCAGCATCATTCAAAGACCGTCCACACCTTAGAATTACACCGGTTTAAGATTAGAAAGATAGTAATTGAGCAACAAAATTGAGGACATATACTTTTCTTTTCCTGATAATCATTTAAAACTACTACTACTACTACTACTACTACTACTACTACTACAACTGGTACTACTACTACTACTACTACTACTACTACTACTACTACTACTACTACTACTACTACAACTGGTACTACTACTACTACTACTACTACTACTACAACTGGTACTACTACTACTACTACTACTACTACTACTACAACTGGTACTACTACTACTACTACTACTACTACAACTGGTACTACTACTAACAATATGACTCAGCAATACGGGTGTGGTTATATGTTCAACGTCATATTATTACATATTTTTTTTATTACTTATCAACGGAAATGTTACCTATCACTATGGAAAGAAAAAAATCACATACTTCATTAACCAACTTCAAAAAAAAACAAAAAAAATTTTTTTTAATCGATTGGAAAAAATTATTCACCAGTGATAAAGTGGTATATAACACTAGTAAGGAATAGTATATCTGGCAGTAGAAGTTCAAGAAGATCGAGGAGAAAAAAACGGGAAGAGAAGTAAAAGGTACTGGATTCCAGTCCCAGAGTGAATATCAACTCTGAGATGTAGGTACATCCGACTGACGAGTCTCAAATAGGACAAAGTGATGCTCGTCAAACTGGATTCCACTACTAGCCACTATCCATCTTTGCTTACTATACTTACAGTAGTATGCACATATGACAATTAGAGACTGGCCAGTTTCAGTCCTAAAAACATCAATGGGAAGATTTAAACAAAACAATACTAAGTGAATGAATTGACATGTTGCAAATAAAGTATTTGCTGTATAGTACTAGGATTTTTTTAATGATGTTCTGTAATTTTGTATTGAAATTACATTTGATTGTCCCCAATTGTGCTCTCGTTCACTAAAATATCACCGCAGTATCTTTATAGGTAGATAATTGAATCTCGGACATAGCATGACTTAGTGTAAACTGTTTCTTCAGAAAATGAAAAAGTATGGAAATTTATGGAGATTGTAGTTTTTTCACAGTTAAAATCATTAGTCGATCAATGTTAGACGATTATTGAAAACCTGGAAGTACTGGATGACCGTTTCATCCTGGTATGGAACTCCTCGACAAT